CGCATTACGACCATTCAATCAGGGCGGAAGCGTACACTAATCACGGAAATGCGCGGCAAGGACGACACGAAGCATACCAGCAGAGACTCAATTGCGAACGTCTTTGCAGATTTCTACGAGCAGTTGTATCACTCCACTCGACAATCTTCACCACCTGAGCCTTCTGACGACACGGTGCCGCCTTTTACAATCCACGAGCTCAACAGGGGACTGTCCAACCTCAAGCGGGGTAAAGCACCCGACACGATCGGAATCAGAGCCGAAATGTTGAAGCATGCCCCCATAGAACTCAAACGAGCTGTACTCAAATTATACAACACTGTCATAGAAGCCGACGCGCCTACTCCGCAGAGTTGGCGACAGACAGTCATCATAGTAATCCCGAAAACAGGTGACCCCAAGCAACCTCAGAACTACAGGCCAATCTGCACCATCTCCCTGCTCTACAAACTTTTCAGCAAGCTTCTATACGATAGACTGCAGCCGCCCCTGGACAAACAACAGCCCCCAGACCAAGCAGGATTCCGCCCAGGACGTTCGACGCAAGATCACCTCTTCACTTTCCACATGCTTCGGGAGAGAGCTCGGGAATGGAACCAACCACTTTGGATAGCGACGCTGGACTTCAAGAAGGCTTTCGACACGGTCGAGCACGAGAGCCTCTGGACCGCACTCAAGAGCCAAAGTGTCGCACCAAGCTACATACACCTACTCCGGAAGATGTATTCTGGCCAAATAGCCACGGTGCGGACAGACACGACCAGCCGCCCATTCAACCTGCAGAGGGGCACAAAGCAGGGCGATCCCCTTAGTTCACTACTTTTCAACTCGCTTCTTGAACACATCATGCGTCCAATTGTCAACACATGGAAAAAGCGCAACCACGGCATCCAACTCGGTTTCACTAAAGACTGCTCTTACCAACCTGCGCTTTGCCGACGACGTCCTTCTGACGAGCCGCACCTTACCGCGCTTGACGAAAATGCTTGAACACATGGCCACAGCTGCACAACAACACGGCCTCCACATCCAACCGGACAAAGACGAAGATCCTGACGAATTTGACTGAGAGGACTGGGAGAGCACGGCAGCACAAGGTGAGCATCAACAGCATGGAAATCGAGATTTTACCTCACAGTGGGTCAGTCAAGTACTTGGGACAGCAGATCAGCTTCCAAGACACCATGCACGCCGAGGTGCAACACCGGATCAAGGCATGCTGGGCAGCCTTCACTGCTCGCAAAGAGGAACTCACAGCGAAGCACTACCCCTTGAAGCACCGACTCCGACTTTTCGAGGGCACTGTTACACCGACGGTACTATACGGGGCGGCCACTTGGACTCTGACCGAGCCTCTACGACAACAGTTACGATGCACCCAGCGACGCATGTTACGAATGATTGTCGGCTCCCCACGACGACGCAACACCGCCAATACGAGACCGACATCCAGTGCGACCGACCAACGCACGACTCAAGCGACGACAGAACCGCAAACCCACGAAGACGACACGCGCGGAGAAGCAAAACGCAACCGACCGTCATCTACCCACCCAAACGCAGATACCAGCACGGCTAACATCCCCAGCACCGACAACGAGGAGAACGTCGCACCGGAGAGCATCGTCTTGGAGTCGTGGGTCGAATGCATCAAGCGCACGACAAGACAAGCAGAAAGCCTCATGCACAAGCACAGTGTGATCGATTGGAATACGAGGCAACGGCGATTGGTGTGGAGATGTGCCGCGAGAGTGGCGAAGCCGGCGAAGCCGTCCCCTCGAGAATGGTCTCAATGCGTGGTCAACTGGCACCCGAGCCTCCATGCTTCTCAAAAAGGCAACAGGAATTCGGGAGGACAGCAGAAGCGATGGGATGATGACGTGCGTGATTTTCTCGTATCCCATGGCGTGCAAGAGACACCCGCCCGGAGCAGCTACGACGTGAACAACATCGATTGGCTTCAACTGGCGACCGACGATTCAATTTGGACTAAACTGGAGGCGCAATTTGTCACGTGTTCCACTCCTGATACTTCCGTAGCGCCGGCCGCCTGAGTAAGCTTCCAGCTAGCCGGCCATGTCTGAGGCCACGGCCTCACCCGCTCCGCCCTTAAGGGGCCCGGGCGATTGCCCGCACGAGCGTCCCATTCCCATTCCCATTCCTCCTCCTCCTCCTCCTCCTCCTCCTCCTCGTCCTCCTCCTCCACCTCCACCTCCACCTCCTCCTCCTCCTCCTCCTCCTCCTCCTCCTCCTCCTCCTCCTCCTTCACCTCCTCCTCCTCCTCCACCTCCTCCTCCTCCTCCTCCTCCTCCTATGAGCACCTTCCTCGCGACGAAGTAGTGGTTCCACCCGATCTAGGGGAACGAAGAATGACCTAAACATAAAAACTCAGAGGTCCGCGCGGATTTCTGGATCCGCGCTGGACCCCCCGGCGGCGCCTCCGGCGCCGCCCCTGGCGCGCTCCGCGCGCCAGGGAGGGGGGTCCAGCGCGGATCTGAGAAATCCG